TTATATTCCGGTCGGTGAGAGACCATTTGCTTTGGATGTTCAGGCTTTGGCCAATCGGTTTGTGAGGTTGGATATCTTTGAGCCTAATCGAGTATTAACTTGCACGGTCGCTCGTTTTTCCTTATTGGAGCGTATCCGTGATCGACAGTATGATAATCCCCATTTGTGTGTCCTTAGAGACACGATGCAGCGCGGAGGTGCCAAGCATGTTACCTTAGATGATGATGGAGTTTTGAGATTGTAGGGTCGAGTTCGTGTGCCTAATGTGGATGGGCTCCGAGAGTTTATTTTAGAGGAGGCCCATAGCTCCCGGTACTCTATTCATCCGGGCGCCGCGAAGATGTATCAAGATTTGCGGCATCATTATTGGTGGCGGAGAATGAAGAAGGATATCATTGCATATGTGGCTCGGTGCTTGAATTGTTAGCAGGTTAAGTACGAGCATCAGAGGCCTGCTGGTTTATTTCAGAGGATTGAGCTTCCCAAGTGGAAATGGGAGCGGATCACTATGGATTTCGTTGTTGGACTCCCGCAGACTCGGAGAAAGTTCGACGCAGTATGGGTCATTGTTGATAGGATGACCAAGTCAACGCATTTCATTCCTGTGACAGTCTCATATTCATCCGAGAGGTTAGCTGAGATCTATATCTAGGAGATTGTTCGTCTTCATAGTGTGCCTGTGGCTATCATTTCGGACCGAGGTACGCAGTTTACCTCGCATTTCTGGAGAGCATTTCAGTGAGAGTTGGGCACTCAGGTTAGTTGAGTACAATATTTCATCCTCAAACGGACGGGCAGTCCGAGCGAACTATTCAGATTCTTGACGATATGCTCCAAGCTTATGTTATTGACTTTGGAGGCTCGTGGGATCAGATTTTGCCTTTAGCAGAGTTTGCCTACAATAACAGCTACCAGTCGAGTATCCAGATGGATCCTTATGAGGCTTTATATGGTAGGCGGTGTCGGTCTCCAGTTGGATAGTTTGAGCCGGGAGAGGCTCAGTTGTTGGGTACGGATCTGGTTTAGGAGGCCTTGAACAAGGTCAGAATTATTCAGGATAGGCTTCGTACAGCTCAGTCCAGGCAAAAGAGTTATGCAGACCGCAAGGTTCGAGATGTGGCTTTTATGGTCGGTGAACGGGTATTGCTCCGAGTGTCACCTACGAAGGGCGTGTTGAGATTTGGGAAGAAGGGCAAGCTTAGCCCTAGGTTCATTGGCCCGTTTAAGATTCTTGATAGAGTGGGAGGGGTCGCTTATAGACTTACATTGCCGCCGAGCTTATCAGTCGTGCATCCAGTGTTTCATGTGTCCATGCTTCGGAAATATCATGGCGATCCATCCCACGTGTTACATTTCAGCACTGTCCAGTTGGACAAGGACTTATCTTATGAGGAGGAGCCAGTGGCTATTTTAGACCAGCAGGTTCGTCAGTTGAGGTCGAAGAGTTTTTCTTCTGTTCGTGTTCAGTGGAGAGGTCAGCCTCCTGAGGCATCGACCTGGGAGTCTGACTCCAATATGTGGAGCCATTATCCTTATCTTTTCCCTGATTCAAGTACTTTCTTCTTCTGTCCGTTCGAGGACGAACAATTGTTTTAGAGGTGGAGAATATGATGAAATTGTTTAAAAATGAAATTCTGTGTTCTGAGGCCTTGAAAACCTCATTTAGCATCACCTCGATTTGTGTACGCAGTCCAAGCGTGTAGTCGGAAAGCCTAAATATGAAAATCTGTGAAAAATGATAAGTTTTGATTATAAAATGAGCTAATTTGACTTCGGTCAATATTTTGGGTACACAGACCCAGACCCACGATTCAACGGTCCAGGAGGGTCCGTAGGAAAATTTGGGACTTGGGCGTATGCCCAGAATCGAATTTCGAGGTCCCAAGCCCGAGAAATAAATTTTTAAAGGAAATTATTTTCTGGAATTGTTTAAAGAAATTTGAAATGAAATTTGATTAGAACATGATGGTATCGGGCCCGTATTTTGGTTCCGGCGCCCGTTACAGGTCCTATATATTATTTAAGACATTCCTGTAAAATTTTGTGAAAAAACGGACGCCGTTTGACGTGATTCGGACCTAAATGGCTAAAGTTGATGTTTTAAGAAATTTGAGAAAATTCTATGATTTTGAGGTTTAATTCGTTGTTATTGATGTTAATTTGATTATATGAGTACACGAACAAGTTCGTAGGATGTTTATGAGGTTGTGTGTATATTTGGTTTGGAGCCCCGAGGGCTCGGGCGAGTTTTGGATAGGCCACGGGTTGCATTTTGAACTTAGAAATTGCAGAAAATTTTTGCTGGTATGGACAGACCTGCAAGCTTCGCATTTGCGAAGCCTAGCTCGCAAATGCGAAGGCTGGATCGCAAATGCGAAACCAGCCCAGGCCTGCCTTGGCTCGAAATGAGAGATTTTCTTCGCAAATGCGAAGGTTTTCCTATTGGCCAGGGATCACAAATGCGATGTTTTCTTCGCAAATGCGAAGGTCGCAAATGCGACAATAGTTTCGCAAATGCGAAAGTTTGGGATTTCTGAAGGGTTCGCAAATGTGAACCCTGTTTTGCATTTCCCAGCTTATCAGAGGTCGGGGTTCGCAATTGCGAACCCCTGTTTGCAATTCCCATACCTACAACCTGCAACTTTTATACTTAACCGATTTTAAAACCCATTTTTCATATTCCCTCAAACGTAAACACACTTAGGCAATTTTTCAAGGATTCTTTCTTCTCCAAATCAATTGTAAGTCGTTTTTAACTAGTTTTTTTCAATCATTAACATCTTTTAACATGATTTCAACTTAATATCAAAGATTTTCATGGGGAAATTGGGTGTTTTGGGTAGAACCTAGGTTTTTCAAAAATTGAGAATTTGGACCTCGATTTGAGGTCCGATTTCAAAACAAATCATATATTTGGGTTCGTGGGGGAATGGGTAATCGGGTTTTGGTCCTAACCTCGGATTTTGACCATGTGGCCCGGGACGATTTTTGACTTTTTGGGTAAAACTTTGGAAAACTCACTTTCATGCATTGGGGTTGATTCATTTAGCGTTTATTGATGTAATTAAGTAATTTGTGGCTAGATACGAGCAAATTGGCGGTGGAATCATGAAGTAAAGCTATAATTGAACTTTGAGTTGTGTTCGAGGCATCGAGGTAAGTGTTTGGTCTAACCCTAGCTTGAGGGATTAGGAGTTGTGTCATATTTGTTAATTGCTTCTTATTGAGTACGACATATAGGCATAGTGACGAGTATCTATACGTTGGTGTCGAGCATGACCGTGAGCCTTAAATTGATATTTGTTGTGTTCCTAAATGATTCTACGGATGCTTTAATTGATGATTCTCGATAATGGGAAAGGATTTAGTTTATTTTCGTGGAATTTATTTATGACTGAGTATCGGTATTAATTGAGTTGAGTAGAAGTTGAGTTAAGATTGGTTATAGCTGATTCTCCCTTGCCGGGATGTTTGTTTCGATATTGTTGTTCCCTTGCCGGGAAGTTATTATGCTATTTTGTTCCCTTGCTGGGAAGTTATTATATTGCTCTTGTTCCCTTGTCGTGATCCCTTGTGATTATTGTTGTCTTGAAATGGGAGCGGGTGGTACGCCTACCACAAGATTTAATGAAACGGAAGTGGGTGGTACGCCTACCATGAGATTTAATGAAATAGGAGCGGGTGGTACGCCTACTACGAGATTTAATGAAATGGGAGCGGGTGATACGCCTGCCACGAGATTTAATAAAATGGGAGCGGATGGTACGCCTACCACGAGATACGAGAAATGGGATTGGGCTGCACGCCTGCAACAAGATGTGAACCGAAAATGAAGTATGCCGTTGTTTTCTTTATTCTTGTTAGAAGTAACTTTTGGCTTCTTTATAATTCCCTTGATATTTTGTTTTTATCTGTTATTTCCCCGAAGCATGTTTCCCCCTTCCCAGCTTTTATTGCTTGTATTAGTTTATTTCGCGCCATGTATATATATATATATAATTGCACAGGTTTATCTGGAGTCTGGTCCTAGCCTCGTCACTACCTCGCCGGGGTTAGGCCAGGCACTTACCAGCACATGGGGTCGGTTGTGCTGATACTACACTCTGCACTCTGTGCAGATACCGGAGCAACACTTGGTCAGCAACAGTATGGGAGCCAGCCTTCAGTCATCCGAGGTAGCCTTGCAGGCGTCCGCAGGCCCGTCGTCTCTTCTATCAGCTTTTATGTTCTGTTATCATTTGTACTCGAGACAGATCATGTTCTTTTCTTTCAAACACTTATTTGTAGTAATCATAGATAGTCCGTGAATGTTGCGACACCAGTTTCTGGGTAGAGGCATATGTGGAGTTTCTTATTATTTTGGTTCATTTTATCTAAGTCTTCCGCTTAATCTCATATTCCGTTGTTTAAATGTTATTATATCGAAATTGTTAATGAATATAAAATGGGTAAAAAGGTAAATTATGTAATTGATTGGCTTGCCTAGCTCGTATTAGTAGGCATCATCACGACTCCCGAAGGTGGAATCCGGGTCGTGACAATGATTCACTTTTAAGTTCTCTCCTCCGACTTGGGAGAACAGGTCGGGAGAACACAGGGTCAAGCCAAGCCCTGACCCGCCTAAATGGAATTCATATCTGCTTTGTCTAGTCAAGAAGGGAGGGGAACTGGACTCTGACAGTCTTACATCAAGCTCAGCGGCCAACTTAAAATGACCTTAGAAGTCTAAAATTCTACTCTACCATACCTATAGTAACCAATACATAATAAAATGAGGTTTAATTATACACATCAATAGCTCAAAGAGCTTTTACACGATAGTTTAGTCGGTTGTAGATGGTTGCTTATCCACTTCTTCATGTTACAAATCCATATTAATAATAAAGAGTTGCATCTAGTTGATATGCAACTAATCACACATAAAAATAAAACCAAAATGAAATACTATAGTACAAGAAAATATGGAATTTCTGAACAATTCACAAAATATAGGTGCCACTTGATTATGATAAAGATTTTCAAGTCTGAGAATCATCATTCTTTGGGACAATACAAATAAGTAGTATCACAGTTAAACTACCAACATATAGGAAACTTCATCACACACCATATTTACAGATTTACTATTGATATTATTCCTTAAATTAGACCATAACACTTCTTTTCCTTTTTATCACATTAGCTACTAAATTTGAAAATAAAATAAAAGAAAACTCGAAATCTAGTATTAAGTCACATTATCAGCAGAACCAACTCAATACCAAAATCAAGTGCCACAATGAAGTGCAAAAGAGTCTATGGGATGCTCAGCCACAGGGTCACATTCCTTCTTGCTTCTCTGAAGAGGCTTTTCTGGCAAACAGTTCCGACGATCATCGTACACTATACCCTTTGATGTCAAGTTGCTGCAAATTCCTTGCTCCTCACAAAAATAATTATAAGAGAATGTGAAATTTGACAGCTTAGGCAAGACACAGATTCCTTCTGGCACAATTCCATTCATCATATTATGTGCTAAATTTAGTAGCTCTAAATGAGCTAATCCAGCAATACTATAAGGTATTGGCCCTACTAACTTATTGTTGCTCACATCTAGAACTTTTAACTTGTACAAGAATCCAACTTCAGGAGGCAAACACCCTGATAAGCTAGTATTAATAAGGAGCAATTCTTCCAAAGTGTTTGCAAAGTTGGCTATGCTAGGTGGTAAGCATCCTCCAAAATAATTATTGGCAAAAACAACAACAGAAGCTGTGCTTGATCCTAGATTTGAAGGGATCATGGAAGTTAAACGATTATTGTTAACAAAAATAGCATCGAGATCCTTACTAAAGAGTTGAGAAGGCAAGGGCCCTTCAAATTCATTGAAGCGAAGATCAAGATATTTTAAGGAAGGAAGAGAGAGCACGAGATTTGGGAAAGGTCCTACGAATCTGTTGTTGCTGAGATCAAGCTCATGTAAGAGAGTAAGATTGGATAAATAGAGTGGAAGGATTCCACAGAAGCGATTGCTGTTTAGGTGCAGCAATGCTAAGTCATTGAGAAGGCCGAGTTCTTCAGGTAGGAAACCAGCTATATCAGCATGGTTCAGATCAATACCAGCAACAACTTGGATTTTAGTGTCATTTGGGAATGGCGTGCAATAAATGCCAGTGTAGTTGCAGACTGAAGGGCCAATCCAATTGGTGGTCATGTTGTTTGGATCAGAGTAGATAACGCGTTTCCAAGCTTGGAGAGCAATGTAGGCTTTTTGCAGCCTGGTGTTTGTTATGGACTTAATGGAGGAGGAATGGCTGTTTTGGTGGTGGTGAAGGGAAGTTTTATGACCATGTTTGGCTGCTAAGTTGTTGAACATATTGGAGGTGAGACTTAGAAGAAAGAGAACAAAGGCAGTAGTGGTAATGGGAAAGGAAAATGAAGCCATTTTTTGTTAAGGACTGGCAATGCAAAGCAATTAACAGCCTCTCTTGGTTTTTGTAAGGTGTGATATTCTTTCTTTTTCAAATGTTTTTAAGTCCTCTGGTTAATGATGTAGTCACTGCCTTCTGTTAGGATTACTGCATTTGACAACAACCGAAATAACAGCAACCTAACAACTGTCGGAAATAGCTGCCAACATAATTGTGTTTTTATGATGTACCATGTTTTCACACCCTAATCAGATGGTTTATACGAAATTTCTTGGATTCTAGATCCTAAAAACTCTACAAAAAGACATGAAAATTCATTGTGTCGAATGATCATGCTATTTGTAGACAAAGTAGAGTTAGAAGATGTGAATGATATAGACTTCCCTCCTTACAGGTAGCTTTCTCAGTTGTTTGAAGTGGGATTAGATAGGAACACAGTAGAGTTAAGGGCAGACAGGATCTTAACTTGAATTTGAAGCGATGGACTTTATGTTTCTAACAAGGTTTTTAGATGAAAAATTTTGTGCTGGGTCAGCCCTGAGCTAGAGGAGCTTTTGTCAAAGCATGACCGGGACAACGATGATTACATTGTCTTGTTGAATGATAGGTATAAGCATATCGCATCACTCCTAGGACAGCCAAGATCTTATGGCTCAATTCTCATAAAAGTTTTCGACGAAAACAAAAAGATTCCAACACCAGAAAGAGAGAAAATAGAGAAACAACAATGTTCTCCTATCATGTCAAAACTTGCTAAAGAGATGAAGCTTCATTTGCATGCCAACTACAATCAAACTCTGGCAAATCGTCTGCGTTTTCCTTGCTTCGCCCTTGTGGTCTCCGTCGTAATTTTAATGAATTCAACAAGATTAACGAAACTAATTTCAGTATGCACTGTCGTTTTACTAGCACGTTTCCATATCTAATCTAGGCTAAGTATGCACTTGAGGTGGCGATCGAGTCTTATGACTACAGACCTTACTCCTACCTTGTGAGGATAGAGAGACCCTTATGACTACAGCTAATAGCAGTAAAATATCCCAATACCTCCCTTCTCTTGGCAAATCTGTTGACAATATGAGCTCTTGCTATGAAGTAGCAGAAAGTAAAACTGTACATCAATTTCTGCATAACAGACAACTATAAACATACAGGAGTTTCAAGAGTTTCATAGCAACAAGGAAAACAACTTCAAGGAAATTACAGCTCCTGCATAAACTTTCAAGAGATTCCAAACCAACGTGACATTGTTTGAGAAAATTATTTGAACACACTGAGACAACCAAGGAATCATCAGCATACTAAATCAACCACCGCCACCAGATCCATATTTCTTTCCAAACATAATGAGCTGCAGCTTATCGTACCCGGCTAGAACACCTGCACCAGCAACAGCACGTAGAATATTTGCTCCAGCACCTTTGAAAAGTGATTTAGTGCCTTCATTCTTAACAATCTGAGTAAATGCATCCATTGAGCCCTTGTACTTGACTGCTTCTCCAGAAGTCATCATCATTCTTCTACGCACCGTATCAATTGGATAAGAAGCCAAACCAGCACCAATAGTGATACCCCACCCCAACAAGAAACTTGCGAAAAAGCTATCCTATAAACACGAAAAAATTGCAGTAGTGTTAATACCAGCCACTTTGTAGAAACAGAAACTACAGGTAATAGCAATGAGATGGAAAATCCATCCTTCAGTTCTAAATGTTGGTGGTATGACCCAACAGATGAGGACTGATCACACATGATTCATACACATGCAGTCAAATGGTTAATTCATGAATAACCCGAGTCGAATCACCAAAATTTCACAGATATGTATCNGAACAACTGGTTTAAGTGAATCATACATCCCAAAGTACAGACCACGGTAAACAATGATTCCCACGCATGAGATGGTGAATCCACGATAAAGCCCACCAATACCATCTGACTTAAGAGTTTTCCTGTAAACATCAACCAGACCATTAAACTGCCTTTCACCACCCTTTTTCGCAGCCTTATTATCATTAGCAAGACGTGTTCTTGCATAATCCAAGGAATACACAAACAAAAGGGAAGAGGCACCAGCAGCACCACCAGATGCCAAGTTTCCTGCAAACCACTTCCAATAGCCATCCCTGTCTTTTTTGAAATTAAAAAGTCTCTTAAAGTAATCTTTAAAAGCGAAATTCAAGGCCTGCAAAAGACAAATTCAGGAATTAATAATTCTGAAGGACAAAAGATGCTGCAGTAGTGGCCACAAATTTACTACTCAAATGTATCAGTGCTACTTTCAAGTCCTCTTCTTTTTTCCTTATTTGGCAATGCACATCACTAGAGAGATTTATGAAGTTTAACAATATTACAATAAAGCAAAATGTACCTATTCAAAAAGTTCAGCAATCAATTATCCCTAAGGATATAAGCTGATGTACTGAAGGCCACGAAATTGTTTAAACTACTCAAATGTACCGATGATACTCCCAAATCCTCCTCTTTATAGCTCTTTTGACAATGCACATCACTTCACTAGAGAGATTCATAAAGTTTCACAAACATTATAACAAATAAATCAAAGTATTTTATTAATGATGGAAAAATGTATTCAAATCCAGGACTCATCCTGGAGGACACAAAATGATGTACCAGCGACCATAAAAATGGTTAAGAGACGCAAATGCACAGACACTACGGTCAAGATAACGCACATCCTTAGAGAGATCATGACGTCTCAAAGTCATTACAACAATAACAGTAAAAGCTTCAAGGTAATGAGGGCAAAACTAATTCAAATGTTCTATATTCTGTTGTAGTAATACCTTTGTAACTGTCTCGTAGGTAAGTAACAACAATCTTTGGACTAAAAGCGATCAAAAAGCGGAAGAGTGCCTCAGCTAAGTGTGATGAAAAAGTTTAAGTAGCTAGCAGAATTATAGACAGAATGAATAGGGATCAACCAACAGAAAGTTAGGACCGCCAACCTGAGTCGGGAAGTATCTGATGACGTTTGCAGTATTGCCTCTCCAAAGAGCAATGACGCCTTCATCCTTAATAGTTCTGCCAAAGCAGTCCGCAATGCCTTTGTAAGGTTCAGAAAGTCTACCAGCTTTTATCATCTCATCCTGATTCTGAATCAAAAGCTTGACTCTCTCTATCGGAGCTGCAGCTGTTTTAGACACTGCAGCAGAAACCCCTCCCATGAGAAAATCCACTATAAAATAGTTAGCCTTCTTCTCTTCAGATGGGGCCTGTATGAGAATAGGATTATGCAATAACGGGAATTCCAGGATATTGGCATGGCAACTCGTCATGAAAGCACCCCGTAGAACTTCATTGACATACCCACCAACCATGTTGTATGAACCAGCATGCTTAGAATGTGTGTGGGGAGATATTAGAGAAAAGAGGTGTGAATGCCCATGTATTTTCTGAATTACAGATGGGCGCGGTGACCCATCCCCCATGTTTGTAAGTCAATACTATGACCTGCACGGAAAGCAACAATAACTGAAGCATTTCCCTAAAGTACAAGCAAGTGGAGAACGGAAGCTTCCAATAAGGATCAAGCACAATAATTGAGCAACAATGTCTAAATTTCAGTTCAAGTAGCAAAAATAGTTCAAAAATTGGAACACAGAAATTTAATGACTAAGCAGTCAAACCCTACCGATAAAAGCACATCTGCACAAACATGAGACAAAGTAGGAAATCTAAGCAAACGCAATAGAATACTTACCAAACAATTCAATACGAGCAACGTTAGAAACAACTATTTGACAATTACTCTTTATTTACAGGAATCAACAAATAAATTAGGTAATGAAAGAAAAATGTTTTGGATCAGAAAAGTAAAGCACTATTCCAAGACAAGGAGACACTAAACATGTAAATTATATATAATTACTAATACATTTATCAATATTATCAAAAGAGAGTAATATTTTTCAAAGTTCAAACTCAAATCAGAAGTATAAGACATCAATACTAGGCACAGAAAAAGGAAATAAGCAATGATCTCAACTATTCTCGACCAAACTATTATTCAGTAATAAGCAACCAATTATACAACAGAACCAGTAAACATGGAGTATATCAATATGAAAATGAAACTAAAACTCAAATAAACGATTTATAACACAATTATTAGCTAAGATGAACTTCACAATCAGTGATCTAATGATCCAATAAAGATGAAATGAAGTTGACAAGTAAACAAAATTACCCCCTAACTAAAAATAAACAAGTGATCACAGTCCAAATAGCAATATTACACACAGTATGGGCGTTTCTATGTGAAGAGAGAGTGAAGCACCTAACCTGAGAAGGTCGAGAAGTCTTGTTCCCGCCTCTGAGGAAGGCACAAAGTAATATTTTCCAAAGAAGCAGAGTGTCTTACCAAATCGGGAGCTGCGAGTTTCTAGAAGCTACGGAAGACTAGGGTTTTTACAATTATTGACTCATCTGACCCCGTTTTTCCGCGAAAATTATCCTCACTGTCATTTTCGCGCTTCATTCAACAGTCCTCCGTGACTCTTAGTCTTTGTTTTTTTAAAGAGTTACGTCAACTAATTATCCTGGCGCTTGGATTGAAGGCTTGTCTCAAGTCTATTTCCACAAAATGGAAACAGGATAACTATTAATGCTACTACTTTTTCCCTATTTTATATAATCATATTTGACTAGACAAAGGACAACTCGGTGCACTAAGCTGCAGGGCCGAACCACAAGGGTCTATTGTACGCAGTGTTACCCTGCATTTCTGCAAAAAACTATTTCTACGGCTCGAACCCGTGACCTCCCGGTTACATAGCAACAACTTTACTACGCAAGACTCCTACACACAAAATTTAAAATATTAGTAGTAATTAGATTTATATATTATATTAATGATTGTGAAAGAAGATAATAGCATGCTAGTTAAAAGATTAATTTGATAGTACTATAACATATACATCCCCAAAAGGGAAAACGTTTTATAAATTGAATTGGAGAAAGTACTTCTGTGAGTTGTCCCAAAAGTATGAATTGATATTTGATAAAGAATACTACTCCATAGTCGTGATCAGAGGCGAATCTAGGATCTAAATTTTATGGGTTTAATTTTAAAGATTTTTAATATTGAACCCATTATATATTTAAAGTTATGGGTTCAAATCTATTATTTTTACAATTTTAATGAATTTTTACAGATAATTTCCACTCCGCGTTGAAAGTTATGGGTTCAATTGAACCCGTAACTCTCACACTGCATCCGCCTCTGGTCGTGATAGAACAACGAAGTAGAAAACATAATAACAAATGTCACAATATTTGACATTGTGACGAATATAGTTACAATACTTGATCTGTATAAGTTGTTTCCCACTCAAATATTTGAGAGAAGTGCAAGTGGCAAAGGAATTCAAATGTTCAGAACACCGACTATATGCTGTATCTTTTTTGGATACGAATTACACATACAAGCCTATCTTTCCTGACAAATAATTTAGGAAAGGACCCAAAGAGTGAAGAAAAAAGCAGCAGCACCTACAATTCTACAGATACATGCATGTCATTATGCTCTATAGGGAAATTCCCATACTTTCTTGATATATGAACATGAATGTATATAGTTTCGTACATCAAAGAGGATTTGATACATTGAACTGCTTTCGGACTCATTCTTCTACACACCGTCCCTATGACGAACATAAGGAAGCTTTCTGCTTTATCAGCAACTGCCTAAGCTTTTTGATGAGCTGAGGATTTGAGCACATATAATCCTGGAATGACACCCTCAGGCTCTTCAACATGTTCTTGTGATCTTCAGCACGGTCTATGTTTAGTAACTTGGTGAATAGGTTCTTCCAGAGTTCAACTTTCCAGTACCTGAAAGATAACCAAGCAGAATGGAGATTAAGGAACATATCACATATACCAATAATAAAACAACTGGAACTCTGCCGTTTGGTGCAGACCATAACGACTTGATACTATATGCTAAACCATTGGAAAGATCCAAATTTAAAAAAGATGCAAGTGTTAATAAGATCATTTGCATCTTAAAGAGAATGTGGACACAAAATATGCCAGCAAATAAGACGAGGATCAAAGACATACCGCTTAAAAGGCAACTTGGGTTGATAACTATAGCCACCACCGGGAGAAGGTCTTCTCTCAATTTCCATATATGAATTGAAAAGCATCATGTGTACAATAACGCAGAGGCCATATGCATCCACCTGGTATCCATTAGATGCCAAAATTTATTTTCCACTTGACACCAGTCTAATTATCAGAATTATTAAGTTGTTAAACTTTGGAAGGCTCTTACCTGAAACTTCCATGGCTTTTTTTCTTGCATTTCGATGCAGCGGAAGCCAGAAGTTCTACTGTCTCCTATAAACTCTGTCTGCTCAGGGAAGAGGCTCAGGTCTATGCCCCTTCCCCAGTCGACAAGGCAAACTCCCTGGAAGATAAAAACCGTGATAGTTTGCTAATGTTCATAAACATTACTAACACCCAAGGCCAAGAAATTACCTGATCCCTCCATTGACCAGTACGCTGACGAAAAGTTTCTACATCATCGGTCAGATCGTCCCTGAAAAATTTACATCAGCAAATACCCGTAGATTACTCTTTTTCACAGTCTAACAGTTCAAATTTATTTTTTGGTCCTAAAATTGGGTCCAATTTCCTAGAACAGAAAGTATATATTTCCATATTTAACAAAGTGCTACTATGCCTTAATCCTAAATAATTGGAAGTCGAATGCATAAATGATCAATATATTCTGCACTATTTTAGTATAATAAATTTCAATCTCACTTTAAAATTCATTCTTAGTCAAATTAGGACACTTAAATTGGGTCGGATGAAATTTTCATCCGAGGTCCTCAGAAAGTTTCCAGGGAGCTCATTGATATATGTCAAGAATTTTTCCCCTTTAACTTTAATATGGAAGAATATTCCCCCACCACAATATAATTTACATGCTTTCCTTTTTGATACCTATGTTGCTCAAATTCTCCAAAAAAAGCCACCATGTAGGATTCTCAAAAAATTATAGAGGATCTCACACAAGTGCGACAGCATCTCTGGAGGAGCCAAGCAACATAGTTTGGTACAGCCCAAAACCAAACTTGTTTCAATAAATACATAGTCCTTGTCCAATAACTGAAACTAATATGAACAAATACACTTTTTGGCCCATGATATGCGATATTGTTTAACTGAATATGGAGTTTTACGTGTTAATTTGACTTTTTCCTTTTAATTTTACTAGTTTGAAAACACTTGCAATAATTGTTGAAATTGTTAGTTTTATAAAACATTTATCATGTCAAAATTCAAATTTGAATAGTTAAATAAATTTTAGTCTCTGAGCTCTGTGAAAGATATAAAATAATATTATTAGGATATTATTCAAAATGTCCTAAAATGAAAATAGTGTCGTATAAAGTAATACGTAAAAGTACTACACTGTTTCAAACTTAATGATGCCATCTAAAACTTTTTCAGAAATATTATATACATTTTCTACAAAAGTAAATTTTTAATTTCAAATATTTATTCTTGATCACTGCATAGGTCCAATTAAGTCAGCCTTAATCAGGATAGAGGGAATAATGTTCAAGAAAAGCTTTAACCTGTTGTTATTAAATTATAAAGAAAGGTTAGAACTCAATTGGAAGAAAGCATTTGTCGAATTAATAGCTTTGACTGCATAGCAACAACTCCTTATAATTTTCATAACATGAAACGAAAGAGAAATAAGGCTAAAATATAGAGAAATTTTAAAGCAACCTACAAGTACAGATTCTGCAACATCAAGTGGTCATGTCCAAATGAAATTCAAAAAGTATTAGTCTTTGCCAATTACCTTTTTTAAAAGCTAAAGAGAACCAAAAAGAGAGACAAAACCGTAGAAGTTGTACAATGCAGAAACTCTATTGCTAACTGTACCCTTTTGACCAACATGTAAGATTCTGCTTAGGAGTAAATGCATTTCAAGTTTGTATTAAGTGACATAAAGGCTTTAGATACCTCGCATAACGAATCAGAAGATTATCGGGTTTGAAGTCGCCATGAATAATTTGGGCATGATGCAAAGTTTCTAAAATGCAGAGCATCTCAATGGTGTAATAAATACACAATACTTCTTCCATGGACCCACCAATCACAGCATTGGAGTTAATTGCATCCTGCAAGTTACTCAAGTTGCTAGAAAGCATAAACATTCATCATATCATTCAGATTTTGGGAACAAAGAAATAGCAGTTGAAGATCAACAGGCACCAACCTGAAGTGTGCCATTAGCTAGGAAGTCAGAAACGAGTACGCTGTAGTCAGAATAAAGATGTAACCTGTGGGCATAGCCAAAGCTCAATCTCTGGTGAATAAGAACGAAATAAATCAGCACCATTCTCTAAGCCAGCAAACACCAAAATGTAGTGGGTAAATTCACATCTGATCACTGAATTTTACTCATTAAAATCACGAAGTCATAAAACCGCTTTTGTCACATTTGAGTAATTGAACATTTACCCAAAATAACATAACAGTAAAGTCACAAAACTATCTACCCACCATAACAGTAAAGTCAAGAACTATCTGTTGTCACATTAAGGCAACTGAACTTAATCCACCATAACAGTAAAGTTACTTTGATGGGTAGGTTTTGCTGATAATCGGTAAAGTTCAGTGACTTTACTGTTAAAGTTGGTAATCAGACAAAAAAATAATTTTGTGCCTTTACTGTTAGAGTAGAAAAAGTTTAGTTACTTTAATATGTCAAACATAGTTTTATGATTTTATAAAGTTCAACAAATAGTCTAATGACTTAATCCCCATACTGCATACTTCTCTTTCTGGAATCCGCACATCCAGTTGACGGTAAACATAGAATTCCAAAGGGAAAGCTGGCTTTTGAATCTGCAGATATCAATAACATGAAAAAGACAGTGAGCAGACTTCCAGTGTCAGGTTTTATCATGAAGGGAAGGAAGGATAAACTACTATTTCACCTTAAGTGCGACAACCTCATCCGGATTACCATCGAGACACGCTTTGAATACCTGAGCAAATCCTCCCTTACCTGCACAGCCCTTGATCTGATAGCTGTATCCACCTGTATAATCATGATTCCATGATCAACAAACATTTAGATGAGAGCACAACAAGTTCATGCACCTGGACACGAGTGCCTAAGGATTTTCTCTATGAGAATATTAATTTCTAAGATTTATGGTAGAAAGTGCAATTGGAATCACCCAAGATAAGGTATGAGAAGAGGAAATGCATTTACAGGAAATTCCTATGTCCATTGTTGGGATTTAGGCCTCTGCCACCTCCCACAACTAGAATTGCATCATCTACCAAACCACAGCACATTTGTAAGCCTAACGAATGAATGAGCTACCTTTTGTGATAAGTTTGTCTTTTCTAGGAGGCAACACACCTCTGGCTCTCTTTTTATTTACTAGGAGATACTGGAAAGCATCTCACTGAAAAGATCATAATAATGATCATAACCTTACTCACACCAAAATTTGTGAAGGAAGAAACGACAGAAGAAAAATATGGAGAAAT